ATCTTTTTCTCTTTCCAAAGAGAAATCTTTTTCAACGCCAGCAATCTTATTTAGAAATTCTACTAAATCAGAATCTGTGTTGTTTCGTTGATCATAACCTAATAACAATCTTGATGGAGAAATCTTTAACACTGAATGTCGTGTGTTATTAAATACATATTGTACGATTTCTAAACATAATTCCCAATCTCGTTGATCATTAACAAGTTTCTTTAGAGAAGATTTTAAAAACCGATTTACTCTTTCAACTAAACCGTTGGCCCATGGAGCAGCCACAGCTATTAGTCTATGTTTAATATTTCTAGAAGACATAAATTCAGAGAAATCATGTGAGGTAAATGCTGTTTCTCTATCCGACACAACTTTATTAGGATTGCGTTGAAAGTCCGACAACCATATCGGCACGCAATTATCATTTCTGAAATTAATTCATTTAAAATGAATTTACAATAGTTCAACATCTTAACGTTCTGACCGTTATGACGCTTCTTAATTTAAAAAATTTATTAGGATAACCTAATATTCGAAATAAAGATGTAAGATGCTTGATGACTTCTTTTGAAGAAGTAGACTTTGAAGGAAAAAACCATATATACCGAGTGAAAGCATCAATGATCACTAACACAGGCTTTGAACCGTTAGAGAATTCACACAAAGGTCCAAAATAATCCATGTGAAGAATCTGAAAAGGCTCAGCAGGAGTATCAGTTATTTGCATCTCGCCTTCACTGAATTTGTAACCAGAGTTAGAAATCAAGCATGTTACACATTTACTTATGTGGTCATGAACTCGTTTGTGAAGTGAAGGAAACCAATAATGTTCAGCAAGTCCTTGTGCTGCTTTCTCAAGACCATAATGCGCTAAATCATCATGATAAACTCTAATAATATTTTCGATCATCGATTCAGGAACAACGAATCGTGGTGTTGAATCTGAGTTTTTACGATACACAAAACCTTGAATTAGCACAAATTTCGGATGATCCGTAAATTCCAATTGATCAGCTCTTTCCTTGATTTTAGGTTCCTGTAATTGTTTTATTTCTAATTCTCTCTCGAGAGGTAATGCTTCTACAAATGCTGAAACATCAGAGCGTGAACTTGTGAGTTCTGCTCTTTTTTCTTCAGTCGGAAGCAATTCTCTCGTATATGACCCTTTGTCCGACAGTAGACACAAAATAAATCTTTTGTGGAATCAGTTTTGCCAGTTGATACCTCTTCTTTCTTAGGATTATATTTGGAATTGGAAGGTTTGGCAGGAACAGGAACGTCTTTTTAACAGGATCACCATAAGCCAAAATAAGTGAGTGAATTTTATTCAGGAATTGATCAAGTGATTCCACCTGAATCCAAGAAGCTGAAGCTCTTAGAGAAGGATTGCTAATACCTCTGAGATCAAAAAATTAATATTTTCTTCGGGCAGACCAAGGTTTTACAAAAGCTTCAATTTCTGCGTGGCATAATCCTGAAATGTCTCTTTAGTATAATTCCATTTTCGACTTTCTACCTTTTGGTACGTTACGTGAAAAGGTATATCTCTTCTGAACCTCTGAACAATAGCTTGTTTTAAGTTTAACCAGGAATCATTTACAGTACTTGAATTAAGATCCAATCAATCTTTTGCAGTCTTATTCAGCTTACTAGAGGCAGCTAAAAGTGTTACTTGATCGGAAACTGCATGGATACGGGAAACTCGTTTTATTTTTTCAATCCAGATTACGACATTTTCATCTTCCAAACCTGAGAAGGAGGGAAGCTGGGATGCTAGAAGACAGCTTGAGCAACAGGAACTGAAGCTAAAGCAGGCCTCTGAACGTGGACAGATGCTCCCGAAAGGGCTGAAGAAGACTCGGAGTTATGAGGTTCTACATTAGTGATCCGAGTCGAAGCTAATTGAGTAACTTATTGCATCATTTCGCTCTGTTGCTTCAAGAATTCAGTAAAGAAGCCAAACATCTGCTACATTGAAGGATCAGGAACAGGAGGAGAAGACCTCGAACGAGACGAATCGCACGTATTAGTGGATGGTTGAGTTGAAGCTCGTGTATTGCTAGATGATGTGCCATCAGCCGACGCAAAAGCAAAGTCAGTAAGAGGACCATTTTGTTCCAAGTGAGTCATAATTTGATCAATCAGCCGTTCACGAGAAGAGGCTGGTATAAGTCTACAATTGAGAACGTCTGAGAACTTGAGTTCTTCGAAAGAGAGTTGATCCGTCGACTTCGATCCATTTAGACAAAGAAAATGGCGTGTAGGGGAGTCAAATTAGACAAAATAAGGCCTTTACTTCGGAATAATTCCGCGATCCTTATTTTTGAATGAAACTTTTTGCATTCGCTTCCAAATAGTGTTAATTAAAAATATATCCTCTTAAAAAAGTGTGCTAATTGTACATTTGTTTAATATCAACAATTAATTATAAAATTAGTTGTCAAATTAAATATCTCGAAAATAAATCGATGAAAAATTATGAAAATGGTTTCTTAGGGGTTTTCGAGGGTGCTGAATATGAATTTGATGTCAGATTTTAGAAATTCAAAATGGCGGACTCAAAATGGCCGATGTAAAATGTAAAATATTGTAAAAGTCGCAAAATAAATTGATTTTTTGAGGTTTTCTGAATGTGATAATTTCGAACTTGATTTTATAATTGATAGTTTCAAAATGGCGGATCCAAAATGGCCGATCAAAATATATAATAAGTAAAAAAATCATGAAAAATTAAAAATAATTACTGCCTTAGGACTTTCGAGCACGAAGGTTGCAAATTTGTTTAAAATCAATATTTTAACATCAATATATATATAAACATATACATATATATAAACATATATAAACATATACATATATATATATGTATATAATTGTATTTAATTAGCAGCAGTAAACGAAAAGTACGTACATATAATATTTCAATAATATTGATGTTAAAATATATATATATACATGTATATGTTTTCGTTTGCTGCTGCTAATTACAATTATAATGCTCAATAATCTGCAACATTATACACAAGACACAAAAGCGTTATAATAAATAACATGTGTATTGAACGAAGAATACGAGTTATAGTACGCAGCCACGTGCTGCAAGACTAACGTATATTTTCGTGCTGAATCATAACGTCCCTTCACTATAGATCAAAGAAATCTCATAGATGGTCCTCTTCCTTCTCAGAAATTACACCAAAAGTACACATTCCATCAGGTGTTAGGGCAGTTTGAATTAAACAGTCCAGTTAATGTCATATTTATACCGAAATATCCGAAATTTTAACTAATAATATTTTCTGTTTTTTTTAATTGGCCAGTGGTTATTATATGTAAAAAAAAATTTACAAGGTGGATTCTTTAAGATTAAGGTCTCAGCTAACACCTCTATATGGTAAAATTGTAAAAAAAAATTTTTTTTTCAAGTTATACCAAATTATTACACTTCAATTTTCAGACTTTTTAAGTTAAAATCAATTTTATTTCTGTTTTTTTCTAAAAACAGAGCACAAAAGATGTCATAATCGAAAAACCAATTATACTATCTTAAAGTACACTTCATGAGCTTTAAAATGGTCACCTATAAAGTGTCGATTCAATTTCTTAAGCCTTTATTATTAACGATCAAAGTTAGAAACTCAAAGTGGAAATATGCATTTTTCAAAAATTAACTAACTTTGAAGGCGTGGTTTTCGTAAAATAAATTTTTCTAATTTTTTTGCCAAAACACGTATTTTAGGTAATCCCTTAAAATATAACATCCGTGTATCTATTTATTTTTTTTGCTTATTTTGTTCAAGTTTCGTCGAGTTTTACGAAATTATCAAAAATTCGTGAAACGTGTTACTTCAAGATGACGTATAAAATATTTAAAATTCTCAAAAAATATTTAAACACATGTACTATGTTGTAAAAATGGTCCTTTTTAACATCCAATTAGTTTCATGCCAATTGCTTTTGTCAATTAAAAGTTATAACCACTTCTAGCGCGGCGCGCACATTCGCGCGAGCTCACTTTCAGCATAGCGGATAGCTGACGCAGCAGCAATTGGAGCGTTAGTTAATAAATTCCTGTACACTCAATTTCCATTAAAAAAACAAGTGTCATATATATTTCTTATGTGAAATTTCCCGTTCTTTCGAATGGCATCATTAGTTTTTTGATAAAAATTGAATTTAAAAAGTTATTTGCAAAAAACTGCATTTTTGCACATTGTTAAATAAAAAATTTAGCACAACTTTTCACGCGGACACATTTTGATATGTTGTTCTACACACGTTTCTAAATACGATCCAAAAGGAATCATGGATCGGAGAATTTTTCCGAAGTCAAAATCTAATTTGACTCCCCTAGTGATGTCAAGGCAAAACTACTCCGGATGGACTACGTATTGTGTGAAGCAAAATGTATGCTAACCTTCAATTGATCTCTTCTATATAAGATCGTACAATGGCGGATTTTTCCGTAATTTCAAGTCAAGACTGCCAACAACAATAGTGTTAAAGCATCGGACTTCATAAATCCATTAACGACTCCGAAGATTATCATAAGACGTATTAATTCAAAATCAATTGTAATATCCCACTTCTGAGCTGTAAGATCCAAATCTTCTTGATGATTTAAGCGGCGTCTACAATGAGATCTTAAGACCTAAGATTTAAGCTTTAAATCTTTAACCGTAGGCGTTAAGCATAAGCTGTTAAGTTATAGTGTCCACAATGAATGTCTTAAGTCTATAACCTAAGTCAACGATCTTAAGGTCTTAACCTAAAATCAGAACGGAGTGAAGTTCGGATGTACAGCTATAATGGAATCAATAGAAGAAGACGAAGAATTAATTTTGCTTACATCAATTGTATGGGTGCAAATAATAGCATGTTATTTATTATTAAAACGACCTAATCGGAGATGGTGGATGTTACCAGACAAACGAGAGAGATCTTATTTGAGAGCATACTGTACTTTATTTTTGAAGTACAAACGTACGAATCATGAAGAATTTTTCAAAATGACAAGACTTACAGTGGAACAGATTGAAGAACTGCTCAATTTGTTACACCCTGCTTTAACAAAAGCTAGTATGCGAGAATTTTTGCATCCTGAATTCCGTCTAGCATTTACATTATGGTAGGTTACATTCTCCTATTTAGTACTCACATACATTCTCTGTTTTCTATTAAATTTCATGATTGTCCAGCTTTCTAGCATCGGGGGACAGCCTTAATTCAATGGCCAGATACTGGCGCATAGGCAAATCAACAAGTTATAAAATAGTTATAGAAACATGCAATGCCATTTGGCAATGTCTTAAGAAAACGTATTTGAAGCAACCTTCTGAAGAAGAGTGGAAAAATATTGAAAAATGCTTTTATGAACGATGGGATTTTCCAAACTGTATCGGGGCTTTGGATGGAAAGCATATCCGTGTGCAATGTCCGCCCAACTCTGGCTCAGCATACTATAACTATAAAGGATACTACAGTCTAGTATTAGGCGAGATGAAAACGTTCCTAGATGTATAACACGACTCAATCGAGTAGGATCTAACCGCTAGCCACATGTGACGCAAATTATGCATTTACCTTTGTAGATATCGGAGATTATGGTAAGAATATGCATTGTTTAATATTAAGTTGCAAGTTGAAATAATATTAAATTTTTAAGTATATAATACACGATTATTGTAATTGTTTTAGGATCACTATCAGATACAAGCATTCTTAGTGTATCGGGATTTGGACAAGCTCTAGAACATGATGAATTAAATCTGCCACCACCAAAGTTATTGCCAAAGTCAACAATATTAGCACATCACTACTTTGTAGGTGATGAAATTTTCCCGTTGCGCTTAAATCTTTTGCGACCATATGCAAGGAAAAACTTATTGGGAATCAAACAAAAAGTTTTTAACTATAGACTCTCAAGGGCACGACGTACTATTGAAAACGCTTTTGGAATTCTCGTAACTAGGTAATAATAATATTTTGATTTATCATTTAATTATGCAAAAGTCAATATATATAACAAATGTTTTCATATTAGATGGAGAGTACTAAGAACTACACTAGCCATGCACCCAAATAATGTAGAGGCTGTAATTTCTGCTGCAGTCTGTTTACACAATTTCATCATGAAATGGGAAGAACATACTATCGGATTCCAATCATACTGTCCACCTGGTTACGTAGATCATTATAATGAAGATGGAAATGTTGTTTCTGGTTTATGGCGAGATGAAAACGTTCCTAGATGTATAACACGACTCAATCGAGTAGGATCTAACCGTGCTGCAACAATTTCATTGGAGCAACAAGATACGATATCTGAATATTTTATGACAAATGAAGGACAGATTCCTTGGCAATGGTATATTGTGTACGCAGAGATCGCATAATAAATATTTCTTAATTTAAAAAATTATTTTTTTTAACTAAATAACAAAATACATTTAATTTCTCTTAAATTTATTTTTTCGTACAAACACGTACATAGTCATTGTACAAAACATATATGCATATGTACATACAATCATTTTTCCGTAACATACTACATACAACAATAAAATAAATTTATTTTTTTGATATTTATTTTATCCTGCCAATATATAAACAAAACAATAAATTAAACAATCTTTATATGAAATAAAATAATACTTTAAAATTAAACAGCCACATTGTATCACCACTTATATTGTATTTAAGATGCATATACCTATCACTAATAAAAAACATTATTGCGGAATGACAACAACCTTTGGTAAAATTAAAAAATAATTTGGCCTCATTACGTTGGACGGAAAGAAATAATATGTTTCAGGACTGTCATTGGCATTAACTAAAAAAGTAATTGTAAGAAGAATCTCGATTGACTACGTTACAGTTAGACACATTCACAGGTGCCTAGAGTTTTTGAGATTTTATCTAACTGTAATGTGATCAATCAATATTTATCAATTATAAGTTATTTATGCAGAAAAAAATATAAAAAAATAAAACAAAAAAAAATATATATCAAGACTATTTGATATGTTAAATCAATTATGTTATCTCAGTTACTTGATAATTACTTGAGAATTACTTGTTTAATTGAATTGGAATCAGAAGTTTCATGATTTAAAATTATTTGCATAATTGACATGAAACAAGACAACTGCTTTTCATCTGGTACTCGTTTCATTGCTTCAGCTATTGCTGTGATATACGGATGATGCTGCTGCTGTGTAGCAGTAGTACGATTCAAGTATGCTGTTGCCATTACGTTAAGAGCATGAGAAGATTGGGATAATACGTTTTCTACTGTACCCATTGTCTTCTGCTTTTTTGCTGCAAATTGATCTAGAGCCGGTATTATTTTCTTTTTCTGTGTTACAGTATTCATATTCTCAGAAACGATATCTGTAGCTATCTTCTTTTTTTCTTTATTATTTATATCAAGTGGATTGTCCTCGGAATCTTTAAAATTAATAGGAGATTGCTGATCTGAAGTTAGTGATTCAGTATTCATTAAAGGTACATCAACTAAAGAACTGCTAGTGCTATTATCTGAATTTGTCAATAGATTTATAGAACTCCATGCATTTGATGATAATGGACTCGATATTGTCCTCATTGTCGGTGAGCATTGATGATCTTACAATATTTTGTAATGTCATGCTTTTCTCTTCCTGAGATGTTGTCATAGAGCTGCGTGACCTATCCAAATAAAAATTTTATCACAGCAATAGATATTTTCCAAAAATAATTATACATATACTTACATTCGATGGGCAATATGTGATGTCAGAAAGGACATTTGCTTAAAATAAATCCACATTTTATTTATTTTATGTTCTGAACCACTAGGTTGTCCTGCCTTCATTTCCCGTAATTTCTTGGTGAATGTATTGCGAAGAGTATTCCAACGCCCTTCTGTTTGCTCAGCTAAAGTTATTAAAATTTAAATATTACTTGCTATAATAATATCTTGCAAATTCAAAGTAGCAATACTTAACCTGTGCAACCAAGCTTCTTCCCAATACTTGTCCATTTTTCACGTTTCAGTTCTTTATTTTTGTAATCTTTTAATGTTTTCACATATAATACTGGGTTTTCTCTTACAATAGAAATTAAAAGTTCGTCATTGATATTTTCCTGTATTTCAACATCGACGTTTAAATCGTTTGAATGATCCATCGTGCAACTCGTCAGTCATCGTCAACATAATATTTTTATCGGTTATCGTATCCCACTTGGCTTTAAACAGTAAGATTTTAGCAGTAAGAAATGAAATTTCGCCAATTCGCTTAAGGATTAAAGTTATGGCTTAAGTACTGACGGGAAAGCCTTACGGACGGAAATGACGTCACAAATTATGGCTTAAAGCTTAAATCTTAGGGCTTAAGATCTCATTGTAGACGCTGCTTTATGTATCGCAATCAATAAGAGTCTTGGAATTAAAGTCAGGTTTATTTTTAATAAATTGGTCAGCAAATTTACAATTTATGCTATACACATCCTTTTGACTCGGCGAATAACATTCGACTCACTACTCGATATTTTATTTGTTCCTCATCAACAGAGTGTTGCTAGGAGACAAATCGTGCCGTGTATTGATCGATCGATCTCGGCGTGAACATAGTCATTTAGATGTACTTTTACAAACAAATATTAAAAAATAAAGACATCGAATGTACTGGACTACAATCTTCATTAAATTTATCACAGAGAGAACTATAAGATCAGGGGATTCCTTCTAAAGACTTCTGTGTTCGACATAGCAATAATTATCTTATAGTACTCTTTTAATTGCGAGCACGACGCTATGTATCGCAGGATTGCGAGTTAAAGTACACAAAGTTGTTTAAGGAATTATTTTATTCTGAAACTTTCAAAAAATCGAAAATTTTTTTGCTTAAATCGACAGTTTAGGAATATAAATCTTACAGATACATCTTAAGAATATAAAATTTTTTATCTGAGAGTGAAATTCCCAATATTAACGAAGATACGGTTGATTATATCGAGCGATGCACAGCAATCAGTGCCTCCACGCTGCCATTAAACTATTCCGTTTACTTGAATAGTTCAGTCATTATTTGATATATAGTTACATCTGCCAAAGAGAAACCATCATCTGTATCTGTTGTATCAAAGATTTCACATAATCATAGATTGATAAACATAAGTGAAACATTTTATGGATTGTCAAGCCATTGAATACCACGATACCCGAGGGAACAGATATGGCAGTCGCTTTTTTCAAATGTATTTTGATCCAATGTTTAATCGTTTCAATAAGAAAATTTTTCCCTCTACCACCCTCGCCACTTACGTACAGTCGCAGAATCTGATTTTTATTTTGTAAAACTTAGCATACTCTATCGAAGATTCTTTTCTGGTCTTCGTTCAATCACGACATAATTTGCGATAAATCAATCGGTTCCTCAATCTTACCAAAATTTTCCAGATCTTTCATCGCGTCGTCGACTTCTATCGGATTGCAATTCTGTCCATCGTCGTCGGATTTGGCTCTATCTGCTGTTTTCAGATCATTTTCGCGCTTCTCAAATTAATTCAGCAACGTTCTCAAAAGCTTTCTGTATTTCTTCGAGCCTTTCGTGATATTTCATTGCCTTTGTCAAAGCAGACGCTGAATTCTTAAAGGCATCCTTGTAAGTCTCGTATGCACTTTTGAGTTCACTCAAATCTCTCCACGATTTAAACAGAAGAAGCAACGAGTAAAAGTATTATCCGGGTTCAATTTTTACATTAAATCGATAATGGTTAATTAAGTAACACTTTTTACGTTTTTTTAAACATAAACTCGATACAAATTTGTAACAAATTCGACTTCGCCATTTATTGGCACCTGTTTCGTAATTTTCCAGAATCTGGCAAAATCGTATAAATTAAATGATTCTAATTCCTTAGGTCTGCATAGTAATCATTGATAAGCGACGGACAATAATTCGTAGAATTTTCATCAAGAGCTTAAATTTCATTGAATGTTTTAACTTTCCTGTTTCTCATCTCATTAACGTCAATCCATTTGACAATGGTATCACTGTCCGTACCATAGAAGGGATTCCCTAGTAGTGTGTCCGCAGCTTTTAAAGCATCGCATTCTCTGTTATTCAATGAATGCATCGTAAAATTCCAGTTTCGATGCCAAGGGCTTATTGAAATCTATCATTGCAAAGTCTATATTGCATTTCTCCGACTTTGTCGTGTATTTTGTTAATTTATGAGTTAAAAACTCTGATTTTTCTGCAATAAATTGTATCTCCATATTCCCCTTCCAGGCTAATTTGATAACCGGATTATAATCATTGATAAATGATTTCTAATACGGCTGTCCGCGGCCCATTACGATTGGGGACCGCGAAGAGGCAGCAGAGGCGGACGGGGAAGAAATAACAATAATAATAATAAATAATAATTATAGGTAATTTTTAAAGATTATAATTTAGCGCCCGTTATTGATATCAAATCTTTGATTTACCTGATACATATCATTAAAATTAAGTAGATTTTTTTATTTTTGTGACTACTCATAACAAATTATTTCTTCAGTAAATAATCACGTAATAGTTAAGAGTTACCTCTCAAAGTGACTTTTCCAAGCTTAGCACAAAATTAGTATAGTCAGTTATCGTTGCAATGAAGTCGTCATCAAGTCGTTTTTATAAATGATAAAATTTATGGCATTACTTTACTTCCCATCCCTGCATTTTTTATACAATTATATTTGTGTAAAATGTTCCTTTTCAATTAGTTATTCAGTCAGACGATTCATAAAATAAGAACCATGGAAAGATTCTTAACTATAATATAAAAATTCAAACTTTGGGTAGCCTTTTCATAAGTGTTTTAAACATTTTAGTAACTTTTACTTAATTTTATTCCTTTTTTCAATCTGAAAATATTACTTAACATAGACCTAGCGACAAACGTACATGTTTTCTTACTACATTTCCTGCAACCTTCGGAAGGTTTGGCAGTCACCCATCTCACGTTAAAAAGTTATTAAAAATGAAATAGAGAATTCAACTCCGATGACGCTGACCGTAACATATATTGTCAAGGTAATTGCCCTTAGTGACCATCGAAGAGTTTCGTCAGTCGTTCGTTGCTTATTAAGAAGTTATTAAAATTAAAATTCATCTCCGATGACCTTGACCTTCCCATACATTATAAAGGTCATCACACTGAATAACCTTCGGAAGGTTGTAGCAGTCACCCGTCGCGCGTTACGAAGCTATCCCAAAAAATTAAAATGACCCTGACTCGAATTGTCAAGGTCACGACCGTGAGTGACCATCGGACACTTTCAGCAGGCGACCGCTGTTCATTAAGAAGAGATATTAAAATAAAAATGAACAGTTCATCCCCAATGATCCTCCCACACATTACGAAGGTCATCGCACCGAACAACCTTCGGAAGGTTGTAGCAATCACCCATCACGCGTTACAAGCTATGAAAAAAAATTAAAATGGCCCCGACTCACATTGTCAAGGTCAGGACCCTTAGTGATCATCGGACACTTTCAGCAGGCGAGAGAGGACGAAAGGGGGTGAGAGAAGACAAAAGAGAGTGAGATAGGACGAAAAAGAGAAGAGTGGTGGGGGTGAGAGATGGGGAAGGAGGAGGGGAGGAGGGAGGGCTGCTACGGGTCAAAGTTGGTGGAGGTGTGAGTGAAAAGTGAGAGAGAATGTTAAAATGATTAATATAACGAAAGAGAATGAAATACGGCGAAAAAGCGGG